AAATAAATAAAATAAAATAAAATAAAAGAAAAGAAAAGAGAAAAGGGGTAATAGGCTCAACTAAGTAAGTAAAATTGTGGGAAGATGAAGCTCAAAGGGGTGAAAAGGTCCCAATGTGGGAAGGGTGAGGGTAACGGTATATTGGAATTTTTATGTAAACCAAGCTTGTTAACATAATTTTTAAAAGTGATGCTCTTTTGTATTTTGTCTCCACTCTTTTTAGATGTTAGAATTGGAGAAACATTTACTTGTTTCTTAAACAATTACATCAAATAAATCCACATTACTTGTTTCCCTAAAGCACCATTTGCCTGTACATATTTTTATATTTAAGCTTTAGAATCATTGATGATGTACAAATTCTTTTAGTGGACAATACCCAATGACCTAGAAGCCTTTGATAGCCTCCAAAAACTAAATCAACAACTCTTTGATGTGTTACTGTTTAGCAATAGTTCTAAGATTAAGAAGAATTCACCGTTACTAATTATTTGGCATTTATCAAAAAAATTTGTTCAGATTAAGTATATCCTCGTTTAGTTGTGGCTATACTAGGTTCGACTACATATTTTGTCATATTTCATTTGGAAGCATTGCCAATTTTTAGAAGGATTCTACTTTTAATCGTGTTGATAATCAACACTTCTCTAACTTTTAAATACAACTAACATGATCAACCTTTCCCTTCCCACATCTAAATATTTATGCATCTCCAGTTTAAATAAATAGATGGATGTGATCTGTTGGTTTACTCATCCACCACTGTGTCAGTAAGCTTATGAAATTCTGAATTTTCGAGGAATGTATGAGTGTGCCAAATATTCTTTTATTTTGTAAAATATTTATGCCAACAATTCCTTTGTTCAATATAAGATAATTTTGCTAAATGGCGTGAATTCAAATAAAAAATGTCATAAGCTCTTTAATATAAATTCTTTTGTCAATGCACATCACTAGCACAAGAGCAGCACTTAGTTTGCACGATTAAACAATAGTAACTTCCTTTTTGTTAATCCTTTTATTTTATTTTTTTCAAAAGCTTTAATTATATAATCTTCCCAGAATAAAGGTGTTCCCTTGGAATTGGAGGAAAAATTCAGCAGATTTCACTTATTCCTGGTTAAAATGAAGTTCCAACAGCTTGGAGCTCATGCTCATTATAACTTTCCGTTAACATTTGAAAAAAACTTGAACAGATACAGCAGGAACTACGTAATTGTTTGTTAAACTTAGTTTGAGCAAATTTATGTTCAATATAACTTGTAATGAGACATTTCTATTCAATTCATTTTGGTCTGCTATCTTTCTTCGTTAAAACTAGTTTGCAGTCTATTCAATATATTTACAATCATCCCGGATATCAATTAACTGCAGGTGCTAGTTCTGCGCATGTACAACTACGCGGAATAATATTGCCAATAAAAGATTTTTCACAAAAGACTTAACCTTACATTTTAAATTGTTTATGTGCATAAGCAATGACAACATATATTTGTACAGACAAATATTTTGTTTAATAGAAGAAAATGCTAGTTGATGATGTCGATTAAAATAATACACCGTCATATATCCTTCAGCATAAATGTGTCGTGTTAGGGTGGTTTTTTTTTTTTTTTTTTTTTTTTTTTTTTTTTCCCCCCCCCCC